TTTTAACCGGTATGCTGAGAAAAAAAAAGGGCAACCCCCCCCCCCCCCCCCCCCCCCCCCGACATCACGATGCCCCCTGATGTCATGCCCCCCCCCGCTGCAGCAGGACCAACGGAGACGGTACGGGCCGTTGACGGGGCAGATAATTTCCGTCGTGCGCATGGGGTGCAGGGCTTCTATGCTTTGCTGCCCGGTGCGACTAGTCGAGGCGTTCTACCGCTGCAGGTGACCATTGATGAACAATATCGAACAGGTTGCGCATGTCTATCTACATGGGTGTGGAGTGCCAGCTATCTACCCGGCTTTTGAAAAAATCGCATAAACGTGATTCGTGTCTCGCATGTCTTTGTTGAACCAGTTGTTCCAACGGTGTCAGCGCCCCATCGTGCTGAGGTCACCAGGCTCATGTAGGTGATGTAGTTTGGAACTGGAGTTCGAAAATGAACCCTACAGTACATTTGCGTTCGTTAGTATCTAATCATGTCGCTCGTGATACGTCGGAAGGAAGGGGGGTGGGGGGACTAATCCCGAACAGGACAAGGCCCAATCCAACGGTTCCTGTAAACCGAAAATGCAAGCTTGTGTACCCGAGTGATATTTACACACACACACAGAAGTTCACCTTGGCGTACATTGACGATTCCAACACCGATCTCGAAGTTTCACTCGCATCCCCAATACTCTGTACGTGTTTCCGGGGCGGCTTGCCGTGCGTGCTATTGTTCCGAACTAACCGGCAGTCTCCAGTGCGATCAGCTGCAGCTGGGCAACATGTACGCGGTGCTCTCCAAGAGGCGGGGGAGAGTGGTGGACGAAGACCTTGTGGAAGGCACACAGGTAATTTTTGTAGTTGTTGTTGTAGGTTATTGTTGTTGTTACTGTTGATTTTGGTGGTGGTGGTGTGGTTGTGGGTTTTGTTGTTGTTGTTGGTGTGGTTGCTGTTGGTGTTGCTGTTGGTGTTGTTGGTATTTGGTGTTGGGTGTTGATGTTGTGTTCTCGTCCAACAGCACAAGCGCCTCGGTAGGGCAGCGTTTTTGCTGCTCCGTAGTACGAACTGCAACTCCTGTACCCATGCTCTCTTGTTGCTAAAAAGCTGGTTGCTGCTGTTGCTATCGGTCGTTGTTGTTATTGCTAAAAAGTAGTTCGCCTAAACGCTACGGTCGCGGCAGGCTTCTCATTCCTACTACTGGCCACTCATTCCACGCAATTATTGTTTTTTTGCTCACCGGCTTTCCCTCGGCGGCGTGTCTCTCTCTGGTATTTTCTCCCCCTCCCTCTCAGTTGTTTTTGTTGACTGCGCTGCTGCCAGTGGCGGAATCGTTCGGGTTCGCCGACGAGCTGCTCAAGAAGACATCGGGAGCAGGCACCACGCCTCAGCTGGCCTTCTCCCATTGGGAGGTAACGATGTTATTTTAGCCGTACCGTGCCAGACCCCGGCATCTCTCTGTCCACTGGTCGAACGATATGAAGCAGTGGTAAAAAATTATATCCTGCGGCGGCTCTAGCCAGAGCTCGACTTATCTATACGTTAAGTAGGTTGTTCGCATCCGCTGGCCGGGAGTGTAACGGCCGGGGTTTGATTGCTCTCGCAACACGCGCGTGTGGTGGAAGGTGCCCCCATTCATGTCGAAACGCTATTGGCCAACCCAAACGTGTGTCTTAGTAGTGATTTGATGAAGCACTTGATAGCGTGGAACGTGAATCTAGGCTCGACCCTAGTTTGTGTTTCAGTGTCATGCGCCATAGTCCAAGTTGTCCGTCGACGAAACGGTGCATGGACAGTACTGGAGAGGCGAAGAGACTCAGCACCTCCCCTCCCTTCGACTTTGCGTCGCCCCCACCGGTTCTTCGCGCTTGGTGATGTGATAACCTGGTCCGGTGAAAACCCGGCGTGCTCCGTCGAATAGGGATGCGACGTCAATGTTCTAACGATTACGGCATGCACGGCCATGAGTACCCTCCCCCCGGTCTGACTTTTTGCCGAGTATACCAAACGCCAAAATATGTTCCGAAACGTTTTCCGTGCACTGCCTCTGCCGCAACCGCAGGTGATGGAGCTGGACCCTTTCTGGCGGCCTCAGACGGAAGAGGAGAGAGAGGACGAGGGGGAAGAGGGGCACCTGAGCGTGACCAACATAGCCAGGCAGTACCTGGACGGGGTTAGAAAACGGAAGGGGCTCGCCACGAACGATAAGATTGTAGTCGCCGCGGAGAAGCAGCGGACGCTGACGAGAAACAAGTGATTTTTTGTTCGGTCGATCGGGAAGGGCTTGGCGAAGGGCGAGCGGTATTTATCCTTCACGATAGAAGCGCACGCGTGGTTGGTACCGCTGGCAGTACGCGTGACCTGTACTACTGCTGTAGCGCGAATTGTTCTTGGCATATGGAATCCCCATTGACCCGCGCACGGTTAGTACCGCTGGCGGTACGCGTGACCTGTAGTGTAGCGCGAATTGTTCTTGCCGTTTGGAATCACTAGGCTTTACGGAGTCCGTGAAGGGTACCTGAAGCATTTGCCGCACATGACGCCACGCAGCTTTCATCCAGCACAACAAGCAGCGTGTCCAACGCGAAACGGGCTACCTCGTTTCGCCTGGCCAGGCGACAACCACAACAAGCGAAATTATTTTGCCCCGCAAGCTCGGAGCTAGTGGTTGATCCACGCCAGCCTGCCTGACTCGTCTTTTGCTAATCGGCATGGTGGCCATCACATTGCATTTTTTGGATGTGTCCTGGGAGGATCAGACGCTGGCACGGATTGACCGGCCTAAAAAAATACACCAGATCAAGTGAGGTCTTTACGGCGCGCTGCAAATTCCCCCGGTCGAGGATAGCGTGATTGTCTACACGAACGTATTCTCCCGGCTCGTCACACGACGAAGTTGGGTCGACGCATTGTACTCACAGGAGGTGCGGTCAGTCAACAACGCGGGGGATGAGACTGGGATGAGTCGCTTCTTCGGACTTTCTTGACCATGCACGGTTCAACATACGGCAGCCGTGAGAAGTTTCTGATGCCCCGTGCGGAAATCGAAAAAACTGCTCTGTTTGCTTCCTTCACGCTCTGCCGTGCCAACCTAACACCTCATGTGCGAATGTTCGATTATTCCGCCCCCTGCGAACCTCGGCAGTTACTACTGTAGATCTGTGGCCATCACCTTTCGGCGTCAACGGAAGGACGCTTCTTGAATACATGGCAAACAAGGGTTCACAATGTACATTATGCATACAAACCCATGTGGATTTGTAGTGTTCCTCGAATCCTTACTACATAAACCACCCAACAATACTTAAACAAACGCGCGTGCGGATGTTCGCGAACGATGCTGTACCCGCACGCTATAAATTGTCAGTTTCCTTTCCAAAAAAACCCCGACGAAACCGTAGGGGCGGGCAGCAGAGAAAGGCGCGGAAAGAATACCCCCATCAACAGCGACCGCGTTTCAGCAAATAACAACATATCCATGGGGGAGAGGAAGGGGAGCTAGCTGGATACACTGTATGCATAGCCCTCGTTGTTCTTCTGATAAGCGTGGATGTGCAGACTTGGATGTACGACCGGGACACACATTACACGCAGATTGTTTGGTCTACTGTAGTCGAGGAAATACAAAGCTGCATACCGCGCGTTGTTGTTAGAGCAACAGTACAACAACAGGCGTGGGTATCAGCAGCAGCGTCTGATACTGCTGTAGGCGGGTTCCGTGGTAAAGACGAATAGATGGATAGTCTCTCCCGCGGCGAGGAAAAACTCAAATGAAAAACCGTTTTTGGATTTATGTCTAGAACGACGTTTAAAAAGCATGAAAAAAAAGAAACAAAAAAAATTGCGATCGGATCACTTTGATTTTTTTTTTCGCCGCATTGCCGGTTTCGGCGCCTCCTTTTCTCCTCGGCAATCGATTCCGCTTGGCCGATTGAGGGGGGGTAGAGCCACTCAGAAAGTTGATCAGACGAAAACTCGACGTGGGAACCGAGAATGAATCCAAAATCCATGGAATCTTGCTCAGCTACGGTCAGCTTTTGAGCAGCTGTAAGTCCATTGTAAAGCAAAACTGGGACATTTCCAATAATATATTCGTGATCCCCACCCTAAAATTACCCTAATTCGAAGTCAGGAGAGATTGAATCAACATGTGGATAGTGTTGCGGGAGGGGGGATATTTCAGTGCAATTCCTATATAATGGTAATACCTGCTTTTGCGCGTATGTCAGTCAGTGCGTAGCGATATCACGGCCGCATCGATCCTGATCAAAATTCTGACGACGGATTCTTGATCAACACCACAACATAACCCTGGAAATTTTATACTATTCAGAGGCGTTTGAATTTTGCTCAGGGGGCCCACAGAGAGAGGCGATTTTCCCCCAATTTTCCCCACTCATTCATCAATAACGCATCACCACGACATCCAAATGGGAAAATAAGTATATTTTCGTGATCCTCGTGACCTAACGGATGTTGGTACATTTTTTCAGAGGTTGGGACCAATTTCTTGCTGCTCATTGAAAAACTTGTGAAAACCATTCGTCTTGAGCCCGGAACCCGCCTGTAGTGTACGGGTTGGTTTCGTCGTTTCGAGGGGCAGTGACAGATGAGAAAAAAAACTGAAAACGACGTAACGGCAAGAACACGGCCTCTGAAGAAAATGGAAACCCCGAAAAAAGTCCGTTGTGTGTTTTTTCGCAGCCCAAGCCGCCAGCTGTACTTGCTGTCAGCAATTAGTATTAGCTCGAAGGAGGCGTGAGTGAGATCGAGCATTCCTGGAGGGTTGGACGGTCTCGAGAATCATGGGTTCAGTCGTGATGGATCACGCGGAGACGAGGACGATGGAGTCGATGGCGGAGATGGCCGACAGAATGAGCAAGGAGCTCCGTTCCGAGATGCACAACGCTGAGGTGCAGCTCAACAACTGGGTCGCCGAGCGAGAGCAGCGGCTTGCCGACGTACAGGTGAGCCAAACAAGTCCTTGCTCTTTCGAGGGTAGTCTTGGAGTGTTTCTAGTAGCTGTCGGTGTACTGCTGCTGTGGAAGGACCACTTTGGTCAACCCAATAGGGCCAAGTGCCATGTAGCCTACCAGCGTTGAAAGAGCGCGCCAGCAATTTGAAGTACGAGAGCATCGCGCGATTGTACACAAGAAGGGTGCATACAGCACTGCGCAGAGAGCGAGTAGGCACACACCTGCTTCTGCGCACAGAAATGCAGGCCTCACTCCAACTCAATACGTGCAAAGGATGTATACAGTACAGCAAAGTACAGAAAAAACTTTGTGTTCGATTGATCGCGGGAGGCCTTCTTGATTGCGCCGCATTCTCAACCTTTGTCATGCAAACTGCTGTAAACTCGCACACATGCCATCTGGGAAGCTGGGTGCTCAAAGTCGGTGTATTGTGTTCCTTATACAGCAATCAGCGGTAGACACCGCCGCTCAGCATAGCCTCACATAAGATGGCAAAGGGTCAAGCGAGGGTTTCTGATGAGACCGGGATAAGAGTTGTATGCTGTTGTCCTATACAGGAGCCCGTCTAACCCAGCAGCCGCGTAAGCCCGAGACCCACGGAATCGTGACGCCTGCATGTCTTTGCAAAAAATGCCTCGGAGCGCGAGGATGAACGAAAACAGGCAATCTCAATAGTATCTGGGACACTATTGGAACGGGTGGATGAACCATCTTCTTTCGCACTCGCCACCCTCCCACGGTTTCAAAAACACGTGTCGCTTTGTGGGCTTGATTGCAGTCTGATTACGCGCAGACGATGGAAGCCCGCGCGGCAGAGGTAGTGGAGCTCCGAAATGCTGACAAGGACACGACCGCAAGACGAGCGCACTGCGCCGCCGTTGTCAAGAAGCAGGAAGAGCAGCTTCAGGTCGGTTTGAATGGTTCAAGCGTACTGAAATCGTGACTCTTCGATGAAGTGGCAGGGTTCGCTGGTTTCGCGCTCGCTGTCTTGGCTCTGTTGGTGTTGTTGGCACTGCGGTTAGGTCACGGGATTGTCGGTTCCTTCTTGTGCGTCTCCTGTGGCCGTTGTTATTGTTGTCGTCGGTGGCGTGACGGCTGGGCGACGGAGTTGTTTTGAGCCTCTTTCTGCGTCTCTGGTTTGCTGTTGTGTTAATTGTGTAACTGCTGCTGTAACTCTCGTTTTGGTCGTCATGGTACGGCGTACGCCCTACCACGTTGACTTCGCTTCCAGGGTGCAGTATGGTAGCGCCGTTCTTATCCGCTATTCCAATGTGATGCCCCGCCAACCGGTGCACTATCTCCTATACCATGTGGCACCATTGCAAAGAACATTCGTAGTAAGGCTAAGAACAAACTGTTCTCCATCTAGAAAGGGGTGCGTGGTAAGACCACAACAACAGCAATCACCCAATGCGTGCGTCCCTTCCCCTGCGTGTGTGTGGGTGCTTGCTTGCAGGAGGAGGTGAAGCGGCTGGAAGAGCTGAGAGAAACGGAGAGGGAAGAGATGCCCGCCAAGGTATGCATGAACCAACGGCGCCGCTGTCGTTGTGCTGCCTGCCTCACAAGTAACACTTTTTTCAAGCCCGTCGTACGAACACTAATTGTAGCTGGACGCAGAGTTTGAAAGCAGGAGGGTAACTCTGGACAAGGTCGAGAACGGTCACTGTTTGTACCATTCCTATAAGGCACAGTACTCTATACGACAAAGGCGGCGCAATCTGCGTACAAAGTGGCGGGGTGTGAGTGAGTCATGCCGTACTCGACTTATACCACAGGCACAACACCAAAGCCAATGGTGTTGCGTTTATCACCGCTGAACACTTGGCAGCTTTTCTCTGCTGCGCTGCACTCTTCGAGAGCGAAAATGTAGCGCCGCCAGCGGTGCTTGACTCGTCCGTTTTTCACCTTCTTCTTGGTGTGTTTCTCTTCTGCATGCCGTTTTTCGCAACCTCTGACAAACTCTTTTGCTCCCTCTTTTGGTCGTATCTATATTCTCTTGCCGCTGTTCGTTTCTTATCCCTTGGTTGCGGTGGCGTCGTCGTCGTCGTCGTCCTCCGTGATTGGCGGGGTTGGGGCCGCGCTCGGCAGCTGGAAGTTCTCGGGGCCGAGCACCAGAGAATCGCGAAGAACCTTGAGGCGAAGCAGGGGGAGATGCTCACCCGCCGTCACGTCAAGGTGCATATATCTGCTTCATGCTCTTCGCTTCCGCAGCTGCCAAGCACGATCGTGGAGGGAAATACGGTGTCGTCAAGTTTGTCCCTGCCGCATGCATTCCCTGACGTTCTTGTTGGCTTCGTTTTGTTCCTATTTATTTGGAATTAGGTTGCGCGTTTAAAAATGGTACTCGAGATTATTAAACAAAATGACTCCATTGCCGTTTTTTCTTGCCCAATGATTTGGAGTACCATGCTTGAGATTGCGCAGTGCGTGGCGTTCATGTGATGGAGGCGTGCCTCGGTGGATATCTCGACACGACATTTGCGCAGGGGTTCCGTGATATCATGACGGCTTTGGTGTTGTCTATATCAAAATATGTCGTGTTGAAATGGTTGCCGAGCGGGAGGACTCTCAGAGTAATGACAGCGTTTATTGCTACTGCTGTTACGTTGTTGTTGTTGCTGCTGCTGTTGGTGTTGACGATCATGATGACGATGCTGTCGTTTGTTGTTGTTGTAGATGTTGATGCTGTTGTTATTGCTGTTGATGCTGCTGTTGGTGTTGATGATCATGATGACTGTCATTATTGTTGTTGCTGCTGCTGTTGGTGTTGATGATCATGATGACGATGCTGTCGTTTGTTGTTGTTGTTGTTGTTGTTGTTGTTGTTGTTGTAGGTGTTGATGCTGTTGTTATTGCTGTTGATGCTGCTGTTGGTGTTGATGATCATGATGACTGTCATCATTGTTGCTGATGAGGATGTGGTGTGGTGTGGTGTGCGTGTTGCGGTGATGCAGGAAGAGGAGCTATCGGTGCTAGGGAAGGGGGTTCTTCTCTACCGGCGGCTGGGGCTGGAGTTTGAGGGCGGGGACACCGGAGACGACGGGTCGATGAAGTGCCTCAGGCTCGTCTTCCGACAGGTAAATGCAAAACAGGAATGTGTGCTGTCCCCCACCAAGCGACGCTACAGCTGGAGCTCTGTCCTGTCTCTCTCTCTCTCTCTCTCTCTCTCTCTCTCTCTCTCTCCCCCTGTCTCTGTCTCTCTCCCTTTCTCTCTCTATGTCTCTGTCTACCTCTCTCTCTCTGTCGCAGGGCAAGGTCATTACCGACAGGTGGTACATGGGCTGTGCCATTGTGTTCTTTACCGTGCAGTATAATAGTTCTCTCCCTTGCGGCTGGTATGCGGTTGAAAATCGTGGCGTTTTAGGATCTGTGGCGGGATGCTGCTGTTGAGACCTGGCAGTAACTTGGGTTTTGTTGCTGCTGGATGCCTGCATGCAATGCGTCCTTCGCCACCTTGGCCTTGAAGATCACACGGGTAACGCGTACAGCAGTTGTGTGTCTGCCCGACAGAGAGTCGTGACGGTAGTGCCTTCCAGGCTTGGTGGCTCTGGCGTACGCCCGAGCAACAGCAAACTTTGTGCGTGCAAGCATGGGCGGGTTGCTTCTGGTCCGTGTCGGCTGTTCTTGTCCGTTCCTGTTGGTACCCGTCGTGCAGTCTCCCGCCTCTCGCGATGTCTGCCAAGGGTGTTCCACCAGTGGTATCTCCCCCCTTCAAAATAGAACCCCCCGAATTCACCCTCTATCCAACCTCCTTGTCTCCGTACACACCCCAGCGTCTGTTGTTCAGTTTTTACGTGACCCTCTGTATGCCCCCCCCCCCCCCGAAAAAGCGAGAGGTGCTATCGATAGGATAGATAGAATAGGGAAGATATTTGTGAGCCACCTTTGGCAAAGTAGGAAGGAACGATTGGACATCGGTGATCGGTCCTGTGGGAACAATCCTGCGTCCTCTCGAGGACTCGTGGTCAATGGTCTAACCGCAAATGCATGCAAAACATAAGAGTACGCCCCCCCCCCCTCGTGTGCACCCGGAACGCTCCCTCAAGATCTCCCGGCAAGAGCCCGAAAGGCCCTTCGTGATCGCCGTCTTCATTGACGACAATGGCCGCTACGTCGTACCGGAATGCTTCCCAGCGCTCCCGACGGAAGATTTGAACCGAATGCTGGAGGACGTGAACGAAAGCAACGACTTCGCCAAGTTCGTGTCCCGCGTACGTCGCGGGTTCGTCTCGATGGCCGAGGCGGGTCTCTGAAGTACGTTAGGTTGGTCGTTTGTTTTTTTTTTCTGTGTGTTTCGTGGCTCGATACAGTTTTGTGTATATGCTGAAATCCTGTGTCTTGCCGCGCTGGTGGCGAAGCTTTGCAAGTATTTTGTTGTTGCATTGGATTGTGTCCGGTTCGATGGATTAGGTGACCGTTCGGTTTCAACTAGGGGGGCTGGAGGACCGCGGTTGGCTTTTGTAAAGAAGATGAGGGTATTCGTCGTGCACGCGGGGAGGGGGGAAGGAGGAAAGAGGCACCGTGCTACGCGTATTTTTTATGGTAGCGCTCTCGACAGTTGAATATTGTTGTGAGTGTGATTGATGGCGAGAACATTGGAAGTGATGGTGGTCATTGTTGGCCCCGTCTTGAGAGTTGAAACTGGCAGTTTTATCATCGGGCAGGCGGATGTACGGTTTGTTTTTTTGGTTTCCCTCCGCACCTCCGATGTCGTTTTTCTTTGCTGTGCGCCAATTACTCTAGCATCACGTTTGTCTCCTTGTCGTCTGTAGTTGTTTTCGCTGCTTACGACAGATCAGGGTCTGGTATTGTTTCATGTTGTTGCTTTCGTCAAATCGGACGTGGGGACGGTTGGAAGCCGTGTGCTCGTGTTGTTCAGACCGGGCTTTCAAGGGAGATGAGGTCTAAACCACGACTCCAGCTGCAGTGGTAGTGTCACATCTATTCATCCCTTGGTACGGCAGTAATGTATTTCGGGTTTTCCCTAGCTCCTGTTGATGTACTACTGCAACCACCCTCACAGGTCGCAGACAACATCACGTTTTTTTTTTATGTTTTTTGTGTTTTTTGGGAATACCCGGTTGTGGTCGCTTTCGCTCGTGGGGAGTATCGGCCTATTTGTCTTCAGGTTGGGCATACAAGGGGAAGGGTAAATGAGCCCGAGGGCCGCCACCGCCTCTCCGATAACGTGGATTGATTGTCTTTATCCGCTGTCAACAGCTGGAATGACTCAGCGGTGATTACCCCATTGCAGCGGGGGGTGTCCGTCTACATGCAGCATGGACCAACGTATGAACAAGTTGGCGTGGATTATCTCTGCTGGCACTCTGAGAGCCACCGCACTTCGGCCATCCAGACAAGGAGTGTGGCACAGGCGCCGATTGCTAGCGTATGGTATAAATTAGAAGGTAGGATGGTTAGATTCTGTAGCCAAACGAAAGAAGTAAAATGTATCCTTTGGTTGGTGGTTTTATCCAGACCTTTGTCGTCAAGCAAAGCTGAACGTTCCCTGCTCTGCGCTGACGTCGTGACAGATCGCAAGGCTCGAGGAAGTTCGAAAGCAAGTGGTCACGTTTTCTAACCCGGTATCAAACGGCCAAATTGCAGGTGGATTTACTGCAGTTGCGTGAACAAAATGCGTGGCGTGTGGATGCGGATGCCTGATATTCACGTCACGCACACGTACCAGCAATAGCCTTCATGAATCTTGAGACGTCGAGGGAGACATGAGCTGTGATTGTTACTAGCCAAGGCCAGACATTACGGGGAAAACCTCCGACAAGTTTGCGGCGAAATGTCATCGATGCTCCGGACCAAATTCACGCGTGTTGCTCGGTGGAATTCTCCTCTCCCCAGCACGGTCTCGTGGTCCTGCGTGAGTCGAAACAGTTAGCCTGCTGTTCTCACGTTTTTTCGTGTTACTAGACAGCCTTCTCGTCTGCCATGCCAGGCGACACAACAATGGCAGTTCGAACGCACAGGGGCGCGTCAAAGAAGCGGCATTTTTTCCCGTATGACAATGATGGCGCGACTCCGAAAGTGAGCACCGCAACCTGCGGGAAAGACGCAAACAGTCTCCAACGTGCGGTGACAACTAACTATACCTGATACGTTCAAGTCACGGTTGGCTTTTGACGTAAGGTTTGTGTCTGGTCAACTCTCTACACTAGATGCCAACCGGTCCCTCTCGAGCACTGTTCGCCATGCTGTGAGCACCCGGAGCCCCAACCTTATCCGGAAAAATTTGTCCGCTGCGGTCACGTCCGCCCAGGCCCAGAGCGCCGCTCTCAAGATCGCAGAGTTCCTCTTCTGCGTCGCCCGGGCGGCCTGCCTTGCCTCTCTCTTCCTCGCGGCGTGCCTTGCGAACATGGTCCACGCGCTGAAAGCGTTGCAAACGAGCGCCAGGTCTGCTTTCCCCAGCCGCAGGCGCAGCCGGGACGCGAGCCCGGCTTCCGTCGCCCAGCCCTCGAAGAAGTCGGCCAGGCGCTTCCAGCTAGCCCTCTTAAACCTCGCGTCAGCCTCCGTACGAGCCGAGGCCAGAAGCACGCCCTTCTTCTCTCTGGAGAGTGTGGCGTTGGTGATCTCCGCTCTTGCTACGGCCGCCCACCCCCGCAAGGCTCGCGCTGAGAGCCGAATGCGGCGGAACTTAGTGGCTGCCGTAAGGTTGGCCCAGTTAACAAACGCTTCGTCGAGGACTTCGGTGTCCCACGCTTGCTTGCGCGAGCACCACGCCCGTTGCATCGTGCGCTCCTCCTTCTTCAGCCGCTTCTCGATAGAGTGCTTTGAAAACAGGACCCACGCGGAGAGAAGGTTCTTCAGCAGAGCCCTGTCCGCGAGACCGAGGCGCTTCCGCAGCCGCCCAGCGAGTCCGGCTGCGCTCGCCCATGCACCAAAGGCCTCAACACACAGGCGTGTCAACCCGTCAGCGCGGAAGCCTTCCGCTTTCCTCTGCCGAAGCCTGGCGTCTTCGCAGGCCTGAATTAACGCGGCCAACACGCGAGACTTTCGTCTGCGATCGCGCAAGATGCCAAATTTATCTTTTAGGATGCCCGCAGATCTGTCCAAAGACCGAGCTCTTTGAACGTTTGCCGCAAGAGCTGCAATGATAGTCCTCTCGACCGTTCCGCACCTCTCGCCCAGCATTCTGTTAGCCGCCTGGCGTGCCCGATTTTTGGCTGCTGAGTGTTGCTTCAAGCGCACGAAGAAATCTCTCTGACTGGCTATCTTTCGAACCTCTTCTCTTCCCTCGAAGCGGAGGTTAATTTTGGTCCTAGTTTCTCGAAGCCTTTTGGCTAAAAAGGCCCAGTTGCGCAAGCAACGCAAGGCAAGGTCCAGAGTATCCTCTTGCTGCTTGGCCGCCACTCGCAAAGCAAACTCACGCACCAACAACATGTCGACGCTCTTTGGTAGCGCCACCGACGGAGGCAAAGATGAACAGGCATCCAACTGCGTTGCTTTACGTGCAGCGCCACCGTTGGAAGCGGCTTGCGATACTTCTCCTCTGGACTCTTCCAGTTCCACTTCGGGTAAACTCTTTGGGCACGCCTCACATGAGCCCTGGTTACTTTCACCACCAACTTGTTCTTTGTTTAGGCTTGTCATTTTCCGAAGACCTTGATCCTCTTCGTACTTCTGCGCTTGTCTCAGCACGCCGAAAACGAATTCTAAAGTTCCCTTATCCAAGCCGGCGAAGAAGCTTCTTCGTCTTGGAGGAACGTCGCACTCGGTGCCGCCTAAATCGTGCTGTACCGGAGCATCCAGCCCACCAAACTTGACTGCCTACTCTTTTGAGAGCACCAAACGCAGTCAATGGGATGGATGGGAGCTTTCAATGGATCTCATTGTGTCCACGAGGTTATCAACACATTGATGGCGGCGTTGGAGTCTGTGTCGTCGAGTAAAGGCATCGCACCTGCGTTTGTTGCTACTATCTTCTAGACAGGGCTGCTGTTGCACTGGTGAGGATAAAAGCATACTAGGTGTGAGGTGCCGAAACATTGTGCCTCTGCGTAGCGATGTAGACGATGACTGCGCCGAGTAAAAGCTGGGGGGCGAAGCTGGACCTCACCAGAGGGTTGTCGTGAGAGGTCTCTCCGAAGAATCTCTGAAGCTCATCAATACTTTCCAGGAACGCCGTGTCCTGGCTGGAAAATGGGGCATAGTCATGTGGACGAACACATTCAGGTGCCCATCGGTCGGGTACAAGTCAGTTCCAAGGGAGATATGTTGTGGCTTTGGAAAGGGCGGTGTCAGTGCACCTAGAGATGATGGGTTCGAGCCACCCAGGCACGGACACACAACAATAACATACGCATGCGCTTTATATGCTTTGTGTTCTGCACGTCCACATCTTGAGCAAAACATAACCCTAAAATTTCGACTGCCTGCTAACATTTCGAGATCATTATAGCTAGACTACTGTGTAGCCACCACAAGAAATCCCTGCTCGAAATAGTGTGTGTACCCCAACAGGCAGCCTAGACTTCCACCTCGTCCCTGTTGAACCCAAACAAAACCCAGGACCACGCTTTCGTGCAACATTAGGCCAGAGTTGGCGAACAAAGATGATGGTTGTTGTTGCCGCTGTTATTGTCTTCACTTTGTCAACCGTGCCGGTCTCTCCTCAGCACCTTCTGTTATCCGTACCGGTCCAACTGACGCGGGACGCGTTACGTAGTCACAAACGATGCAGGGGAAAAAATGGCTGCAAATATCATGCGCATCAAATCTGACTTCGGTAGACCTGCCGCCGTCAACCAGATCACACACATCAAAGTTTCCTACTGCTTCTGTATAGTCTACCACTGCCATACCATATCTTGGCAAGGTAGTTCGTGCCCTTCCACATGAAGCATCCTTTGTCGTACACGTCTTTTCCATCGCCGACGTCCTGACCATCCGCAATCAGGCGAATGAGGGTGACCGTAGCGCGTCTTAGCGCTAGGAGCAAGTGGGCATACATGGGCCTGATATTCTTTTGGTTGGCGTCGAGTTTCGGGTCTAGGGACGCCACCCTTGCCAACAGATCTTCGCGAACTTCGATCCAATCGTGGACCCTCTGGAAAGCCTCTGGTGTGCGCATGATTCATGGCCCGAGTTGCAGATCCGCAAAGCACGGGAACTTACGTGGGACGCACACGCACCGACTCATCGAAGCGGAGCTAAAACTAAGAGCCAGCAAGCCAGCTTGATAGCTTGATGGATATGCGGAGCAATCAAGCGGCGGGATTTTTCCGAAACGGCACAATACACGCCGCACCACACTCCTTCTCTGTTCTCTTTGTGCGCGGTGGCAGTGCGATACACCCGGTTGTTCTGACGTTCTGTCAATGCCCTCGCTGTCTCCTTATCCCTTCCCGTGGCTCACGGCAATTCTGCTCTATTACATCCTCGCTGGTCGGCGAGACGGGAAACCCTCATAAAATGGAGGAACGGAAAAGCTTCGATCTCAGCTCGAAGACGGCGTCCTGTTTCTCCAAGCTTCGACGAGGCGCGGTGAGATCATGAAATCATACGACGATATACCTAGCAAATTAGTCATGAATCTTCCGGTATTCTTGTACAAAAACATGTCCTGGTCTTGGTCGGCGTCGTATAATACGCGCGTCGAATGCAACCTCTCAGTGTCGCTGCGATGGAGACCTACCTGAAACTTTTACCTACCGTATGCACATATCCCGTAGACTATTGTACATATGTAAGTCCCCGCGTGTGCGCTAGTTTTCCGTATGATCTCCTGCGCACCCAATTCTCGCCTCTCACCACGTTCTTGTGTTGTCAGTTTGAAGAAAAATATCGTCGAGTTTACATGCCCCCTCGTGCCACACGTTTCGATAGGATTTGGCACCCGCAACTCTTGAGCTCAAGCAGACCTTCGCGCTACGAAGAATCCTACTGAAGCACGGCGAGAGGACAGAGGTGCGTCGATTGTGTATGGCCCACAAGCACCCCCGTCTAGGCGCAAAACCTCGTTAACTCAAACAGCATGTCTAGGCACCCGTGAGGCTCGGTGACATAGGGACTTGCCCCGCTGTCCACTTGGCGCGCCCAACGAAGCTGTCCACCACATAACACTGTTTGTTTTTTCGTCATCCCATTTACTTACCGTCACTTGCACTACTCTAAACCCTGTTATGGCCCCAGCAAAGATCTTGAAACAGCACGCTTCATGCTTCAGTCACCTCGTCTTTCTAATCTTAGGGCTTGATACAATGGTCACGGCTTGGGAGTCAGTACAAATGTTTCGGCAAGACAGCAGAACAACTACCATGGACGATGAAAGCGATCGGCCTGAAACGGATCACACATCCAGACTTCCGTTCATACCCTTTCTCTTTACCAACCACAGTGTCGTCTTCTCTACTCCTGTTTCGTTGGAGGGGGGCTCCCGGCATGAACGGTCGAGTCCCACGCCACCTTGACATAAACCCCTTCCCCAACCGAAACGGGCGACCCATTTGTTCGCATGCACGCCGGAACCAAACCGCTAGGAAGAATGCTCAGCCGTACGCAAATTCCTCGCGGAACGCACAACGATATGGCGAGAACCGTTCTGGGCCCTCGTCTCCAAGAGGGAACAGCTCAAGATCGCCAGTTGTGTCAAGCTGAGGATGGTCCCGAGCGACGGGGAGCCACACGACTTCGTGGCGGCGGACTCGACCTCCGGATGCATGATATTCTCGGCTCTCAAGGGCCTCGCTCAGGTAGTACACACGCTCAGTCTCCAACCACCAGGCATGGTGTGAGTCAAGACCTGCAGCAGTAGTTATCACTCGGAGTAGACACCCCTGAGCCGTGCAGCGCATGGGTTGGGTACCCGTCTAGCAATTGTGCTTAGAGGAAGTGGGTTACGTTCGTCAAGCAACGGCCTGCATCTCCATGCCATCGTAAGCTCCCACGCAAGCACCTTGTCTACTTTGATCTCCTCTATCTGAGCGTTTTCAGATCCTCCCAGAAAGTTTTGCTCACGCAGGTGCAGCCACTTGATAGACTCATGCCCTTCAGTGTTGCTCATGTCAGCTGCATAAATCAATAATGGGCTTGGCGGAGGCAACACGCGCGCGTCGTTCATAAATCCTTGCGCAGGTGCAATGTTTCGATAGCTCCGGCACGCGCCTAGAGTTCCAGGAGCTGGAAACATTTGGGTTTCTTCCGGTGCCGGAGGTGCTCTTGGAGGAGGCCATTCGCGGCGTAGAGGTGAGCAGAACGAGCCGAACACGTTTCCTCTTTCCCCTCTGTCGACGTCCAGCGGTGGCGTAGTTACACATCTGTCGACTTTAGGCACAAATCTTTGGTGAGAGCGTGCTGTAGCGTCTATCGAGCTAACGGTGCCCTTCGCCTTCCCGTCAACACGGACTGGACGGGTGGGCCGTACGAAACCGGGAAATATCGAGGCAATATGCGCAATCCTCGTGTCGCCTTGTTGCTGCCCCCCCTTTTCGGATCGCCACTCGAGAGCAGAGGGTGAAATCGAACCCGAGAAGCAAAGTCTATCGTGGGGAGCGGGAGTACGGAGAGAGGCACCAAGCGACAACGGAGGCCGGCAAGATCAGGGTCAAGATTGCCCCGGACGGGCAGTACTTGTCCATAAACGGGGCAGAAGTGGTACCGATGCTCAAGAAGCTCGCTGAAAACCGGGGGAGGTGCGCAGGAGGGAACATACTACAGTAGTCGTTTTCTCGGTGCACCCTCAACTTACGCAGTCGAACTACTTTCGCCATTTTATTGCAAATATCTTTGCTGGGTCGCAGCCACATTGCTGGCTGGACTATATGCCTTCTCAATACACGTCGCGAAAATCTCCCATCAATACTCTACGTAGCTGAGCTTTTGAAGGGGGTTTAGGACGAAAACAATGGGCATCCTTGCGCGACCGCCATTAATCTCGTTGCCAGGAGCCGCCTGATGAAGAGCATGGGTCTCGAGCTCCCCGGGATGGGGGGCGAGGGTGGGTTTGGAGGGGAAGTAGGCGGTGGCGGTGGTGGTGGTGGCGGCGGCGGCGGCAGGAAGCGGGAAGCGCTTATGCGAGAAGCTCGGTACGGGGTTGGTTCGATCCTGGTACACGAAGGAGCTTCTCCCACGATGGTGTTCGTAATCGTGGAGGGAGAGTGCAGGATCGTCAAGTCTGGGAAGCCGTGTCCCCAGTCTCAGTCGTCCGGTGAGACTCGACAAGGTTGACGAGCCTCGCCCAACAGACAAGCCCCGAGCAACATTCATCGCAGAACCTAACGAAATCTGGTGACATTCTGGACCATACGCCTGGGCGAAACAAGAAACCCCACCGTAAGCCGAGATGAAGGTCACACTCAAGTTGTTGTTCCGTCACATGCAGGCGCGAAGGTGTCTGGTGGTAGGAGCGCGAGGTACAACCTAGGCAGTGCCCAAGGCAGCAAGGTCGATGTGGTGCTCACCAGCGGCTTTCACACGCAGGTGCGGTGATTCTCGCCGTTCTCGGAGTTCGCCCCCTGGACCAAGGGTGCGATGCTCCATGAAATGAGCAAGCGGACCCCTTCATCGAGAAGAACACCTGTCGGATGCCCAAGACCAGTCGGATAGACATCAGGAGAACTTTTATGACGCCATAGATACACAGCACGCACGCTGCATCCCTCGGCAATGAATAGACCAACGAGGTCGCAGGAACAAGGGCTGAGCCATGTTGTGCCCATGCTCTGGCGGCAGGACGCCTCGCCACTAACGGATGGGTCCGTTTCCAAGAAGTTGAAGTTGTTCGTCGGGGAGAATAAAAACGCCAAAAAAACTACGCACGCCGGTGATCGACGCTCTACATACCTGGTCGAAGAGAGACACGCCGATTTTCTATTTCCCTCCCTTGACAAACGCCTGCTGCACGCAGGTCGACGTGTGCCAGCTCGGATCTCTAGGACCAAAGGCCCTCATCGGAGACATCCCCGCCTTGCTCGGAGGCGTGCAGCCAGCGTCGGTCGTGGCGAAGACGCCCCTGAGAGTCCTTCAGTGCAGAGCCGACAGGTTCGCTGCACATTTGGAGCACAACGCCCGAGCTAGAAAGGGTGAGAAGGTCTTTCCTGTGCGTTTCAAAGGAAGAAGCAGGCGCAATGCTCAGGCCTGCACGCGGAACGCTTACAAAGATTTTTCCATTAGGAACTACGCTTCGGAAGGTTTGCATTTGCCGTGTTCGACGTTAGACTAATGGTATGTATCAGACGGGGTGCTCGTTCGCAGGCTCAAAAAAACAACAAACAGTTTTGACGACTCAGTCTATCACCATCAACTTTAGCGCGAGGACAGCATGTCGCCAGGTGCTCTTATCGCCAGAACGTCGGCCACAACGCGTCTTTCTCGCACGCCGCAAACAGTGTACGTGGAGGCCGCCAAGGCAAGGAGGTCTAGGATGACGGAGCGAGGAGGGGAGGTGGAGCAGCTCGTTTCGCTCGCCGGGACCCCGCTGCTCGTTGACATGAGCGCCGGCAGCGCTAGCACCTCCAGCGGCCCCGCCAAACACCCAGCAGGAAACTCCGCCCAAACCGGCGACGAAGCTGCCCACGGCAGCAGCAATACTAGTGATCGGACGGGAAGGGGTGGGGAGACAGAAAGATCGACCGCCGGCGGAAAAGCTGCAGCGGCCACGGCGGCCAATCCTACGTCTACTGACAGAGGCCGAGGACGCGTTAGCAGTCGGACCGATCCATCAGGAACCGCCAAGGCTAGCAGCGGCAAGGGCATCGGACCGGCGGTTGAACCGGTACCAACGCACAGCGGTGGTAGCGGCCACAAAGAATCGATGCGGAGGTCGCAGTCGACCCCCGCCGCCACACCCGTGGAAGAAGAGACCCGCAACACCGGAACCCCCGCGGATACAACCGCGACCGCGAGGTCAGCGACGAGGCGCACTTCATCGTCGGAGTCGTCACCTCCGACGCGGGGATTGAACGCCGAGCGGATAGTCGCCACGGCGAGCACCCCGCAGCTGCCTTGTTTCTCCCTGGGGACATCGCCACAGCTTGCGTTCCGCGGGGCGCGACCAAGCCCAACAGTTGGGCCGCTGCACACGCCTGCTCGTAAGGCTGTCGCTTCCTCCGAACGCAAAGTGGCGTCGCCGATGACCGATGCTATCGGTGCGTCGGCAAGTGCATCGGGTTACCGATGGCGCCGTTTGGGAGTGGGAGTGGAGGCGGGGCTTGCGGGGACAGCGGCGATGGCAACTCCAGCCCTGGTGACAGCCAGAGATCAAGCGTCGACACTCCTAGCCTCCCACCTGACGCCATTCCCGACCATCACGAAGAATCGCAGCTTGCACGCCGTGGCGCAGCCCATCGTGAAGCACAGCGAGGGCTTCGCCGACGCCTGTCGGGGAGAGAGGAGTAGATCGGGGACCGAGGCATGGAGGGTGGCGAGAGAGGCGAGGTACGAGGGCCTGGTCGCCCCAGCGGACCGTTTGTCGATCATGCAGCAAATCGACGCCGGCTTTGACGCGTTACAACAAGGTGGCAGGAGTAGGAGGGTTCCTCCAGTGGCATAGTCTAGAAGAGCAGAGCGTGGCGTGCCACGTGCAGATCTTGCAAATGGTCTTGTCTTTTGCGAAAGGCGTACAAGGTCGTTTTGATGCAAAATCTCAAACCGATGCCGTTTGCGCGGTCTTGAGAGCCGTTCGCTCTGATTTTCACGTGGCGAAGAAATGAAACGTATGATGATCTGTACAGTAGTGTGGCATATCTTGTGTGGGAGATATGATATAGCGGTCGTGCTTCATATCGCGCAGGGGTCATCGTTGCCGCGGCGCCGATGTCCGGTTTTTGTAGGCCTCGAGCGGTGTCAATCCAGGCGTATATCAACCCCAGAGGATCCCACTAGACTATATGGCCGGGCGGGTACAAGATAGGGCTTGTTAGGGTTGCGACGTCATTCTATACCCCAACATGAAGCACACACGTGTGAGAAGTTTAACGATTCCGCTGGAAGCAACCCTTGCATCACCAACCCGTGACTCAAGACTTCTGCTGCTGCACTGCTGTAGTCTCATGAGACATGTTGAGGCCGCGAGGCTTGAGATGTTTCGTCATCCGGCCTCGACCGTCTGTCGGTCCCGGAGAGTCGTGTACAGCAGCGAGGTACTGCTTGGAGGTAGTCTACCGCTTAGCAAGAGGTTGGTGGAGGCTGTGCGTGCACCCGGCGCTATCGACTGGCTCCCGTGGGAGCCAGCACACAGGCCTGGAGCTATTATGCTGCTTGCAAGTCCACTATGGAGCATCTTACTGCTGTCCGCTCTGCCAATGCGGACAAATATGGATACGCATGCATGCAAGCGGACATGGATGTGGGGACATGCGGACAGATTTTGAATTTCGGGTTTGGTGAAGATACGATTTTTTTATATTTTTTCATACACGTGCATTTTTTTTTTTCTGTAGCGAGCAAGCCAGCGCCAGCGCCTCACCCACCATCCTCCCGCAGCCCGTCTCCGCCCGCCCGCCGCCCGCGGCCGCTGGGCGGCGGGCGGAGGAGGAACACGCCTTCATCGGGAAACATCCACCATGGGAGCCGTCGAGGGCTGCTCTGGTGCGATGCGTGGAGTGCCTTAGGGAAGGGCTCCCGATCGTCGTCGGCAGGTTGGCCGGTTCTTCTGAAGCTCATCTCCATGCGGGATCTTCCTCCCACAACAGGGAACACCATGCGTTACACGTGAGTGTAAGGCTGCAGATGTCTTGTGGTCATGGTAGGGTTTGCGTGTATGTTCTTGGAAGCGATGGTCGTTTGCTTGGTTGTTTTGCTCCCTGGAAAAATGATCCTGTGGGGAAATAACCCTCACCCAATCGCACACCTGCTCCAGCGCGCGCGAAGCTGGACACGACCAACATGAGAGGTCGCGTGCGACTGATTGTAGCGCTGAACGAGCGACAGAGAGATACAGAAAACAGAGAGATGGCAGGACTTCTTGCGACCCCAGCCCATGTTTTTGCATCTAAGACTACGAGAGAGGTTCGCTGAGGATCTCGAAAGGACTGCTGTGCACACACCACATAAACGAAGAAACAGCAGTTGCTTATGCATACACGTGGATACCGTGGGTGACACAAGATACTACATCCCTTGGTCCGATTTTGAAGGCTCGATATCTCCACAGCGGAATGAGTGGCAGCGCCGAAAACGGCGGCGTTGAAGCGGTCTCGTCGAGAGCTTTCCGAAAACGTATCCTTTCATGTATGCCTCCTCTTCGTCGTGGAGTATGTAATCTTGTAATCTTGCTTTTTGAAGATTGGTCCAGGGTGGTATCTTGCGTCACGTATGCAAGTAGCCGCCAACCGAACAAGGCACCCACTGCTGTATCAACACATCCCCTTCGACTGCTGTGATATTATCTGGAACGGGCAGTCCGTCTTTGATTGTTTATTTTCTTAACAGATTTCTATGCAGTTATTATTTGCAAGAAGACTGCTGTCGTGAGGTCGCCTTGGGACTGACTCATCCCCAAAGTAAATCATCGGTCCGCAAAAAGGGTCCGATTTTGCCAACGTGCACGAGAAGAGCAGTCAGTGCACGATGTAGTCACACGTCACACGCGTTGCTGCCAGTGGATAGTCTGGGATGAAATGAGGCTTCCTGTTTACGGATAGCCTGGAGACTCCGCCCAAGGTTATTACAGTAGGTGACCCGATATAGTGCCGGTATGTGCGAAACCGGCACTATTCTGGGCCTGAAAATTCCTCTGTAGTGCCGGCTTGGGCACTATTCAGGAGTGTTCGACTTCAGAGTGCAGCGCTTGCGCTTTGCGGGGCTGACAAGAGTACCAAACGAACGGTATTTTGATCAATCGTGAGGTGGGCGACGTGGGCGGGCTTCACGAAGTTTCGTGAGGCTCTTGGACTGTCGAAAACACGGCATTGGTGACCTTAATATTGACTTGATTGACCAGATAGATTTGTTGCACAGCAGTTGTTCTCTTGCCACCTCAGCGCAAGCACTCGCTAGTGAAACGTTGCTGCTGCCTGTCAACCGTAGACCGTGCTGCCCGATAAAAGTTCACCTCGCTGTCAAATTATTTTGTGTTGTATTGCAAGAAGGCCGTAGCACTATTCAGGCAACATCAAAGGCACCCCTCGACAGCGAAAGAAAGACGCTCATGCACGCACCCGATGTACATTTGGAGGTAAAACATGGATGGATGTAGTGCTCCTTAAATGAGCGCACAAAAGCAGGTGCAACCTATAAAAAGGGATGAAGAAGATAACGAACTCCCCTGTTCCTTCGATAAAAAGCTAGAGAGAAGACCAAGCCTTCAGAAGCAAGAAAAACGACTGGCCAACCAAAAGACGCGAGTCTCAGTGCGGTCAAAAACAGAAAATAATTGTTTCTCAAGGCCGTGAGAGGGTGTCATGGAGGAGGCTGAGCTAATCTCTGGATAAAAGACAGAAATGGTAGCAACAGAGAGAGGAGAACTACGTGAATGCCAAGGCTTACTACTTTGAACACGCGTTCGTTCGCAGTGTTTTTATCCTTCCTTAGAAGTATTTTGTTTACCACCACTACTATACTCTTCACTAACAATTTCCCACTGTTTTCGGGCTTTCATCTCTAGATTCTGCGCCCCTGCGGCGTTTGTTGTGAGGAAGGTCATCTCGCTCGAAACTCTTGTTGTTCCCCTCAACGCCATGTGTTCCTCCTGCATCATCACTGCTATCCTTGGGTATGTTTTCCAAATCCTTCGTCACTACCACCATCTTCCTTTTCGCTCGCCTCACTACTGAAATCCCAGCCTATTGGTGGAACCTGGTCGATCGGTAAACCGTGACATTTGAAGACGCCACGCGTACCGAGAGAAACCGAGCTATACTTGTAGCTCGAAGGGAAACCGTCTCCGAATCCTGTTGGCGTCGCGTGGAAGGCTTGAGGCGAAAAAAGGCTGTGTGTGGGGTGTGAACCGGCACTATTGAGGGGTTCGATAGTGCCTGAACCGGCACTATAGCGGGCAGCCCTCAATAGTGCCGGTTTTGGCACTATTCAACCGGCACTATATCGGGGCACCTACCCACACGTGTTGTTCCCTATGGAAAGAACGCCGTTTTTTTCGCGAGGGGAATCGGACATCAAAGTGGATTGTACCCACCCCCTTATCGGACAGAAGTGGAAACTCGAAAACTTGCTCAGCGGAGACCGCTGGTTAGAGGGCCGAACCACTCAGAGCATCAGTACCGCTGCGTCCGCCGCCGCACCCCAGCCTTGATGTGTCGGTTCTATGTACGGCGTTACAATTGCAGGGTCTCTGCACATGCTGCCTGATGTGCAACCTTCGTTCCTTCTTCTCTCCTCTCGCCTCAAGTACATGTTTTCCATGCTCTTTGGTTGTTGGTTGCCGAGCCTTGAACAGCTCACACCCTCCCGCTCTTGGTATAGATTAGTTGCACGTGTTCACACACAGACCCATGGGCTTCCGCTCCGCCTTATTTTTACATTCTCTCCTTCCCCCAATAGACTACCATTTTTTCACAGCCTTTGTGTCCATCTTGTCTTTCGCTCCAAGGAAGCCTAAACCAACCCACGTCTCCGCTTTGTCTCACAGGCTTGCGTGCCCCGCGTCCCGCACACCCGGGTGCTGAGAAGAGCATGACGAAGAACCCCCCCCGGCATATGACGCCGCATCTGCTGTACTACAAGACTTGGGTCAAGGGGTCATGACCACGTCCATGAAAAGGCGAAAGACGCGAGGCTTTGGTAGGACACGATGGGGCATGTCGGGGGAGGGGGGGGGGGGTCATGCTATCGGCGTCCTTATTTCCACCGGCACCGAACGATCGAACCTTCCGATCACATTCGGGCGAGAGGGTTGTCAATGGCATCTTGCCTGCATTTCCACATTTCTGAGGTACTGGCTCAGGCGCACACGCTCTCATCATGTGTTGCCTTGCCAGGTCGGCAATTTCGAGTCTTTCGCCAGTCAGAACGGTCCAATACCTTGTCGGGGACACAACTACATGGGCGAGATTGTGAATACAGCAGCAGTGTAATAGTGACTTGGGGCGTGTGGTCGACCCATATCTTGGCACGCGTTCGGTTTACTATCTTAGTTTTATGATCTCTGGGCATTCTGAGGAGAGTCAGGCACATGGGCCGGGCTCGACTGCCAGTTGTTATCTGTGTTCGGTGGTCTACTACGCTGGCGTCAGATCTCGTTTTTCCCGACGTTTTTGCTGTGTTTTTTTCAAACAAGCAAGCTCAGACATGTGGAAACATGGTAGTGTAGTGCAAGGTAGAGGAGGAACGGTTTTTTGGGGGCTCTTCTTTCTAGCGTGTTGGAAGACTCTATCGTAACTTTGCTTTCGGTCGTGGGTCAGGTCGGAGCGAGTCAAGTAGTATCATTCGGAATCGGTCGCGGTGTGACCAGAGTTCTTTTCAAAAGCGGGGCGATATTTACGCGGGTCTGCTGTACTCGACGCCACGGAGCCTAGACGCTTTTTGGCTGGTTCATCACAACCAAGCCCGTGAGTTTGTTCATAACGTTCGTGTGCTAAACAAGCGTACGTTACTTCGTGTGCTAAACAAGCGTACGTCACTTCGTGTGCTAAACAAGCGTACGTTCTTGTGTGAAGAAACTAAGTGTCTCCACCAAGCAAGCCCGTGAGTTTTTTCACCTTCCACTCGTACCCCCAAACGGGGGGATACTGGGTTCAGTTGGAGCTAAAACTATTGTTGGAGTCGCCGTGGCGGATGCAAGGTGGAAACCCCGCAGCAGCGAGGCTGAACCACGGCCACCAGGTTACGCTTCTTCGAAAGAGGCTTGGCTTGTTGTACTGTCGTGGTGAAGCCTTGGGGGCGAGATTTGAGAGACGATTTCGGTCGGGGGAGGGGGGGGGGGG